GAGGTTGAGAGCGCTCCTTCGATGCGGTATCGAAAGGAGCGGTTCGACAAAAAGTCTCGTAAAATGAGCACGAGACGATCTGGCACGCCGAGTTGGTATAGCTTGAAGATCAAGCCATTGCGCCAGACTTTGTCGAACGCTTTCGCTATGTCGAAGAATAGAGCCCCGTCACCATGCCGCGTTGAAAGCGCTCGCTAACGAACTCGACGATGCGGTGGGCCTGGTGTACGCTGGAGTGATGGGCTCGAAAGCCGAATTGCTGCATGGGAATGAGGCTCTTTGCTTCGGCGTAATCCTTGAGACGCTTATAAATAAGTCGCTCGTAGATCTTACCGAAAGCACTGAGTAGGCTGATCGGGCGGTAACTGCTCGGGGAGGACCTAGGCTTACCGGGCTTGGGGATGCCAATCACGATAGCCTCTTTCCACGTCTGAGGGAACATGTTTTGGGCCAGGGCGCCATTGAAGATGGCAGTCAGGAGGACTATTAGCTGGGCGGGGAGGAGTTTGAAGACCCTATTGGTCGTGCCGTCCCGGCCCGGAGCTTTTCTGTGATGGAGGCCCTTGATCACGTCCGCTACTTCGTCAGGGGTGACGGGGGGCAGCGGGGCGTCAGGGTCTTCAGAAGGGGGCAGGGCGGTTCTGCGTTCGACCTCGGCGTCCACTTTGGCGAGATGGGCCGGGTCGACCGGCAGAGTGCTGGGAGAGCATTGAAGTTCCAAGCTGTCGGCCAGGCATTCGGCTTTTACATCGTCGTCGAAGGCGAAAGTTTTGTCGGGGCGAACGAGAGGGGGGCTGAGGTAACCTCCGGGGAGCGCAACTTCCTCTGAAGGTTCCATAAGGCCTGATGGGTTGGTTCGATCTCACTTAGTAGCTTACCCCATCGTTTTTCGCGCAACTCATTTATGCTGTCACTTACTTTGCGCTGTAAGTAACGCATGTGAGTTTTGTTATTGGCGCAGGGAAAGGCTCTGTAGGCGCGAACGCGTTCTTCTCAGACAACAGGGCACGCAACTCGTCTGGGAGCCTCCAACGGTGATCGCTCACCGCCGGAACCTCCCTCGAACTCTCGTTCAGGACGGACTGAGTCGGTGGGCTCGTGGCGGAGCAACCACGTGGCAGAGCGAGCACGTGGCGGGGCGAGCACGTGGTGGAGCGACCACGTGGCGGAGCCCGAGGCGGAGTGGTGAGACAGAGGCACGCGTTACGCAATATTTATAGTGGCGCGAAAACTCAACGCGCGGCGCTGCGGAGGCGCGTCCTCTTTGCACGGACCTCTCACTCATCGACTATCTCGCTCTTTTATCGGCTATCCTTTTCTTTCCATTGTTCACATTGTAAATAAAGTTCTGTCCTAAATAGTGTAACGCTATTGGCTATAATTTAGGCTATGTTATTGGTGTATAAATTTCTAAATATTATTTATTTTTAATTTAATAGTTTTAATTGGTTAATGTACAGAATTACTTGTAAGTAGCACAAGTACCAATTTTTGTATAAAAGGAACCACCTCCGGCTAATAAATTAATTCGTTCTACGACAACAAGTTGTTTTACTAAAGATCTCCAAAGTGTATTAGTTAAGGCCCACATATACGTACAGTACAGTATTGGAATATGTATCAGAGACATTGCTGAACATTCTTTAAAAAAAAAAAAAGTATCGAATGGACTTTCTTGCTCGTTCTTCGCCATCCGAATCTACATTTTGGAATGAACACCTAGCTTCACCTATATTCACTGACTGACTGACTGACAGACTATTATTTATTTTGTATTTGTTAACGTTTCAAAAGTACCAAATTATGGTTTAATTGAAATAAATGCTTTACTTTGATGTTGGCTTTAATCGAAGCTGCCCCTGTAGCTTAATCACTGTATTAGTTTTAATTATTAATGAACGTTCATCACAAGTTCCTTTGACGTTAGACTACATTATCCAAACCAATACACAGTTTTTTTTACAGTGTATTCGAACTATTTGGATTTAGGGTGCTATTGTTTACTTTATAACTGCAATGTCCTACCCTCCCCTATTGCAACGCGTACATTTAATCAATGGTTTAGGACAGTACGCATGTGTATGTCCTTTTTCTTTGCAGTTATAGCAATCAATTGGGCCTATCCTAGCATTTGTTCTTGACATATTGTATGAATTGGTACTGAGATTGTTGTTACTGACTACTCTATCCTCATGAAACGTTCGTTCTTTCACCACCTGATGGGAATCTTTGCTACTCACGAGGTATTGCAAAAGTTGATCAGGCTCGTTACATCGCAATGCCAAAGCTCCAGATTTGAGTGTTCTATCTTGAATACCGTGGATGATGCAATCCACAGCACGTTTGCCCGTAATGTCACATTGGTTAAGAAGCACCAATTTTTCATAATAATAACTTTCAACAGTTTCATTGAACCTCTTCTTCCTATTGAGCATATCCTCTAAAGTCTGTCCATAGTTTTGTTCCTAAGGAAATACTAGAGTTAGTTTATCTTTCCGCTCTTGCCAAGTAAAAAGTATTGAATTCAATCCTTCATACCAGGTCTTAGCAAGGCCCTGAAGCTTTTGCATTGCGAAGTGAGTGGTGGTTTTATCATCCCAACCATAGACATTTGCACCCCCGTTGACCTTTTTTAACCATACGTCTATACCTACGTTGGTTCCTAGATGAAGGGTCAAACTCTGATAAAATATTTTTATGATCTACCTTAGTGACGCAATGAGTTGATTCTGTCTATGCTTGTGATGGAAACCCACCTTTCAAACATTTTAAAATGTCCATGGCATCGTTTTTAGGAAAAGAAGGACTACGGACCTTTTATAAGGATAATAGGCATCTCTTGTGCAGACACCGTTCTGCTCTGCGCCACAACTGCGCCGCCGGTCACCACGCCGCTCCGGCCGGCTCGCTCGCTCCTCGCGCAGGCTACGATGTTGCTCCTGAGGGCTGCGTAGCTCCTCGCGAAGCTGCTCCTGCAGATTGCATAGCTCCTCGCGAAGCTGCTCCTGAGAGCTGCGTTGCCCCTCGCGAAGTTGCTCCTGCGGGCTGCGACTGCCTCGCCGACAACACCGCACCGATGTTCGGCTCCGGCAAGGTCTCATTGTCCGCTGCCTGCTTTCACTTCGAGTAGTAGCACGCGAAACTCTTCCAGGAGTTTCGAGTCTCCGGCCGTATCCGTCATCGCTCGAGTAGCATTCGGTGGCTTCCATCGCCGTTAACCTCGAAATAAAATAAACCACGTTATAATACCTTCACGAGTACTCTATACTGACCTGATAGTTTTTTCTGGTATGTAAGTTATCTTGCTACACCATTGCGTTTTGCCAAATTTAAATCAGAGTCGTTAAATTATCAACACTCCTTCCTTTCCTCCATCTACTACTACCTACTTGTCTACTCAATTATTATGAGGCGGTAAACATCGTTTACAACTTAATAAAGTTTTGTTATTGGCTCGAAAGAATCATTAACTTCTATATAGTCACGTAACTACAGTGTTAAACATGTACAGTTATATTCCATCTTTAATCAAACCAATAATCTCTTTAATCGTAATTTTGGTAGACGCCTACTCCAAAGAAAAGAATAAAATGGCGTGTACTTACGTTTGATCCCACTTCTGAAATATAAGAGCCACTCCATATGAAGGCCAGAAACGGAGATTATAAAGGAAACAACTTGGTATCGATAATACAAAATATTATTTTCTTCCAAAACACATTTATAAAAAAGAAACAAATATTACATCTCCTCTCGTTAATAGTCCCGCCAACAGAAAGAATGCCCCATTCGTTCAAAAATTGTTCAAAATCCCCTTCGTTTTCCCGCCTTTTTCGACCGCTGTCATTCATTCATTCAAGACCTTTTTTTTTTTTTTTTTTTTTTTTTTTTTTTTTTTTTTTTTTTTTTTTTTTTTTTAATATTGAGATTGAGAGAGAGAGGCATGGAATTCTGGCCACTCTGGTATATGTGGTAACGAGTGTGCTGACAGATTGGCAAAGTTTGCGGCCGTGAATAACGTTGAACGTCACCACTACATTGTGTATGGGTATGACATACGCGCGGATACCAAACTTAAGCTCTTCGACTCGTGGGCTGCAGTGTGGGTGGACTCCTCTAAACGAAAAGGAGCTTATTACGCAAGCATCCAGTCCGACATACAGCGGAATCCTTGGTTTTTCAAGCATAAGAAGCTCCCCAGAGATGCTGTTTCGTCTTTGTGCAGACTCAGGCTCGGTCACTGTTCTAGCCCGGTATTCCTCGCCAAGATCCGCGTACGTGACAGCTCGCTGTGCGAATGTGGTCTTGATGAGGGAACCCTAGACCACATATTTTTCTCTTGCCCTCTAAATTCCCAATCCTTCGATCTATATGGAAACCTTCCCAAAATCCAAATCCCTCTTCCAATCAACTTCCACTCCCTCCTAACAAATTTTTCTCCCAAATTAATTAAGTGCTTGTCCAAATTTATAAAAGAAAATAGTATTAAAATATAATGGTGTGTAATCATGTAAATATTGTGTGTTATGATTGTTTCTATTTAATTATTTATATGTCATCAGTTGACATTTCGAGAATCCAAGTCCGTTTTATTTTTATATCTTTGTTTATGGTCAACCATTTTTAACTAGTAGTTTCTTACTCATTTCACTATTTTTAAGATATAAATCAAATCACCGGTTAACTTATCCTCTTTTTTTTCTTCCTTTGGCAACCGAGTTTCCAACACGATGTTGTCGACTATACCACAGACTACCTACTTAGAGATGAGCAGAGATAAGAAGAACCATCTGTACAATGTGACTTTGACATTGACAGTGACAATATCATGGTAATTAATTTGACTTGACCGTTATTCGAAGCTTATGTAAATATTTAGATAGGCCTTCAGCTTCCCTCCTTCCGCTTTTTCTATATGTCTATCTCTTTCTACTACGTCACTTCCACTTGGCAGTGGTGGGGAGGCTTGCTAAGAGAGACTTGCTATTTCTTGTCTTGTTTTCCGCCGTGAACGGTTGTGCCTTGTGAGTCACAAGACAACCATTCACAAGTTGAAACTACCTTCCGATTTTATTATTATTATTTCTTTTTTTTTATAAAGGTGATAAAGCGATTGATTGAAGTGATTTTGATTTATATCTTAAAAATAGTGAAATGAGTAAGAAACTACTAAAAATGGTTTGTTTATTTCTGTATTATAACCTTTTTGCATTATTATATGAATGGGGTTTTACTCTTACGTATTATAAAGAGTTAAAAAAACTATCTTGTATCACATATGATATCATGTGGTATTTTATTCACATTTCAAAGATACAAGTTATGGTGTAATATTTTTATTGAACAATGAAATCGTAAATATATAACCACAAGTCGAATCTATTCAAAAATTGAGTTCTACTTATTGTGTTGTGAATGAAACCTGGCGATTTTGTATCTACCATATGTCCTCTTCAAATAGAATACATATATATATGCTTGTGTTCGCATTATCTTTTTAAACCATTGTAAATATCCTTTATTTTTTATAAGCAAACAACTTTCGAAGTTTTTATAAAGTAGGTAATTAAACTTACTTTACCCAAAACTTCCTACTCTATGTTATCCTCTTGATTAAATCAAAAGTACGTAATTGATACTTACAGAACAAAAAGCAAGAAAAACTAGCTCAAAAAAGAGAACATAAGAAGCGAACTGACACTGATGATAAAGAAATTGGCAATACTGAAGACGTGCCAAAGAAAAAGAAACCTAAATACAAAAAGAAAATACGTAAAGATACAGCTGGCACTGAAAAAGTAGTTAAAAAGGTAAAACAGAGATTATTGGGTGATCTTCCGGAGTCTACATCGGAATTAACTCCTGAAGATATGCTGACTTGGGCAGAGTTTAACTTGCAGGAGCCTATCATAAAAGCTTTGACGGAACTGGGGTTCAGACAGCCGACTAAAATACAAGAGTTGACGCTACCAGCTGCTATTCATGGTAAATATTATTTTACTCTTTACATTTTATTTTTCTTAATGTATAAATTTTGTATCATGGTGCATTCATATAAGTCAACCACTCTCCAACTATGATCGCATATCGCATTTTCAGATCTTCTACCGAATTTGTCTGCCTTAGCTTTGTATCAGGTTCAATTTCCCGAGTTATGTCCCTTTTCTCTTTTGAAAAAACCTGATAATTGAAAATAATCAATGAAAAGTGTAATTATACTTATAAGCACCCCTGCTGTATACCAGTAAATTTATTTATAAAACACCTTATTCGAATCTGCAGGGCGTAGAGACATCCTTGGCGCAGCAGAAACAGGCAGCGGCAAAACCCTAGCCTTTGGCCTGCCAATTTTATGCGGTATCCTAAAACTAAAAGAGAAGGTTGAGCTAAAAGATGTCTATGAAATATTAGAAGAATATGATGTTCCTGTAAGAAAAAGGGATAATTATATACATTTGTCTGATTTGTTGGACTCTGATAATCTGGCTGACAATAGTGATGATGAAGGGGCTGATGATGAAGAGGAAAGTGAAGTTGACGATGACGAAGATGAGGATGAGGAAAGTGGTGATGAATTAGGTGCAGATGATGATGACGATGTTGAAAGTGGGGATGATGAAATCAACGGTGATGGAAGCGGGGATGATGAAGATTTAGAGGAAGAAGAAAATTATGATGGTGATGAAGTCAATGAGGATGAACAAGGTAACGTCTATAATTTTAGTAGAAGTAGTTTTCCTAGATAATGTATATTTTTTTGTTTTTTTTTTACATTGGAATATTTATCTGCTGATTACGTCGTTAATCAAGTAGTCACTAATGCAACTACATAGCTAAACGATTTCGAGTTCCGTCCTCGGATCGGTCAAATCATCGTTGATTAATTTCGTTTTTCAATAATAGTCCAATATTGTTGTAGTACACTATTACTATTAAACTGTCACACACCAAGCGGTCACCGGTGACCGCAACCTATTGTTCTATAATTGTGTCTATAATGACGGTACTCGACGAGTTAATATTGGAAAAGAAATGTAATATGGACATTACCATAATGTTTTATTAATTATTCCGATGATTTTCTATTTTTATTACTGGTTTTTTAAAAATGTCAGTAGTAGCACGGAGTCTAGAAATGTGCCCGGTATATGGCAATAGGCTAACCCCATGTTACATGGGACTCATAACATAAACAGTAAAAAGTGGGTGTTACATTGGCCTGTGGCATTAAGTGCCGTGTAGGCAATGTGCACCTCTGCCTATCCCTTCGTGATGTTATGTTATGTTTTCTATTTTTCGAATATTATATTTTTTCCGCGCATTTTCTGTTTAACCCTAAGGTTGACTGGGAGAGACCTCCAAGGGCATGGAGCAGGAGTGTTGTCGTTATGTTCTTTAAGAAAGGAGACAAAACCCTCTTGAAGAACTATCGACCTATTTCCCTTCTGAGCCATGTCTACAAGCTGTTTTCCAGAGTCATCACTAACCGTCTCGCCCGAAGACTCGATGAGTTTCAGCCCCCTGAGCAGGCTGGGTTCCGAGGAG